CGGCTAAATAGCGTATGACAAACGCGTACGGGGAGGTAAAATACACAGTACCATCAGTACTATACTTTTATATACATATATACTTCTGTGGATGTTTTTAATGATGTTTAGGGCAATTTTTCTAATTGATGGGGAGTTAGAAAAAGAGCGGAAAAATTATATTTATTATGTTTTGATTATTTTTCTTACAAACTGACGGCAATCTTCGTAGAGATATTTTACTTTTAGCTTAGTCGGAAAGATTCTTAATAATAGGAACGGTCATATACAAGAAAACAGCGGAAAAATTTAATTATCACTTGCGCGTTATGGGGTAAACAAACCGTAAATGGCGAAATATTATATGAGAAAATAAAGAAAAATGTTACGATATTGAAAGAAAAACTTAATAAATAGTATGAAAAATTTGGAGATATAGGTTAAGTTTATTTATTTATTTTTTTTTTTTTCGTAATCAAATTATAAAAAGAATTCCACAAAAGGATAATACATTTCTATAATGACTTTATTTAGGAAGCACTAAATATGTGGGCAGTTGTAAAAAGGTAACTAAAGGTAGTCACGTAAAGAATTTTGCATGTACTTTGCATACACAGTACTCCTTTTAAAATCTACGTTCTTGTTGTAACTGTTTCTATATTATTTTCTACAACACCTCAAAATCTTTGTTTACCTATTAAATACCAAAATGTAAAAGAAAATATACGAATATTCTTGAATACTTTTCATAAAGAAGAACATGGTCAGCATGACTATCAAATCCTTAAAGAGAACGAACGGACAAAAGATGTTCTGCCCATCCTCTTTATAAGTAAATTAGCTGTCTTTTTAATTTCAAATTGCACTAAACCCTTTGTACCTATGTACACTATCTTCGTGTATTGTTAGCGTTTAGGAAATCTATTCTGTGACAAAAAAAAAGTGCAAACCATTTTATAGACTAAAATTAGCAGCAGTTTGCCTAAAGCAGGACATTAAGAGAATATAGCTGAATTCCAATTCAATTTATTGTTCTTTTTTCCTTCCCCTTTGGGATTACAACGATGTTAGCAACGGGTCGTAGGTACATTTAAAAAAACTTGTAATTTTTTTAAAAGTATATAACTATTTGTTTAAGTCATTAACAACAACAAAAAGTCAATTACTTTATAAAATACGTATGTAACAACAAAATACTAGTTTTTAAGTACAAAAAATCCCTAATAAGCGCTATGTTCTGATACTTAAATAAACAACAACAATTGCGTAATGTATGAAATTAAAAAAAAAAAAAAAGTAAAAGTTCCAACTAAAGCTATAAATAACGAATGCCACTACCAAATTTTGTTTTTATATATTTAATGCGCAATTGTTTAAACCGTTATAAGCATAAAGAAGAAGTTTTCACTTGTTTGTTTGTATGTTAAAAAAGCATAATGACGTAATAACGTAAAATAAAAATTTTTTTTTATATTGCGTCGATAGCACAAGAAACAAAACATGCAAAAACTTTACAAAACAAAAAAAAACGAAATAATACGTCTTAGTAGGAATTTTTCTACCACTATTTAAACAAATAGTTAAAAATTTCAGTGTAAAAACGCGTCATACTCTTTAGTCGACGACACTCGTTCGACTAATTGGATTTTTTTTTTATAAATTCACAGTTATAATGACTCATGTTTATTTTATTGAAAGCAAAGAGAAAACGAGAAAAAAGCAAACGAAAGGTACTTTTAACAAACAAAATAATATCGACTAAACTAAAAAATTGCGTAATCTCCCAATTTGAAATTGCAATTCATATTATTACGACGCAATGCAGTCACCTACATACATTTACACTTATGGATATAGATTTTTAGATGTCTACATACACATACACTTACACATACACGCACACTTAGGCAATTGCTATGTATTTCCATTCTCTCTCACATAATAAGTCACTATATAGGAAAATAAAAAAAAAAAGAAAGAGATTCTCCCGCATTTCAAATAAGCGTCATTAGGCAGGCAGTGAATTCATAACGTTTTATTTAATGTGAAAAAAAAGTAAAAAAAACAAACATTGCATTTTTTCTACTCAAACACTTATTAAAATAACTCATCAAGCCTTAGAGAACAAACATCCCTACACATATTATATATATATATATATAAATATATATATTCAGTACAGTAAATGTAGCTATGCATGGTGTACTTAAAATATTGATTTCACCCCAGAATTTAAGTATAAGATAGTAAGCAAAAGAGAAAGAGAACGTATATGGAAAAATACAGATTTTTTCAAGCACGATATAAAACGAAGACATTTTCTTGGTTTTCAATTGCCACCATTTTATATTGTTGTGAAAAGATAGCCGGACAAGAGAGCCAAAGTAAATATGAGAGAAAAAAAATAAATAGAGAAAAAAGTTAGTTGAAGAGAGAGTCGAAACAGGGAAAAAAACAAACACAGAGAGAGTAGTGTTGCCGTATACTAGTTACATCTATTAGATGCTCTTTTATTTGTAAAAGGAATTTAAACAAACTTGTTTTTATAAACAATTAAAAAATTCTGGCGCGCTCTATTTATTTAACAATATTTGCGACTCTTTGCAAACAAACTATTGAATCATATTAATCACATGGAATGTACGTCTTTACCGGGGCGAATATGCATCTTATAGCAAGTGGTTGTAGCATCTAGGCTTCATGTAATACACGTATTCTCCACCATTGTGAACAGTTCAATTTATTTAACTACGTTAAAAGCTGAAGCGTTTGTTTAATTGAAGTTAAGTTTAAAAGCTGCTGTATTGGAATTTGATTTTTTTTTTTTATTATTTATTTTATGTTGCAATGTCAAGACTTTGTAAACTCTAAATTATTAATATTACTCATACAGTTCCTTGTGGAATCCTGAGCTTAAAGTTCGACAATCAAGTCAAGTAATTCCAAGGACAATTAATAAACAAGTTTGAACTTTTAATGTACAGTTTTTAGTTGAAGTTACTATAAGTTCTATAAGTTACTGTTAATTTAAAAAAAAAAACAAAATTGTTTTCAAATATATGTTGGTGCACATCATTAATGGATTTTTGCTTTATTTCGTAAGGGATTATATGCCTTTGTGGTTATATATCTACTTATTTTCCGCATTAGCTGCTTTCCATTGGAGGCGGCAGATTAAAAACCAAATGTTTGATATAAATTGTAAGGACATTTATTTTCATTATCCGCAATTTTTTAGATACGCTTTCCTCAACAATTACTTGAACAGTCAAAATGCCCATACTACCAAAGCAACCGTATGAAACATGCTTTTTATGAAAATAAAAAATAAAAATCAGCGTCGATGTTAAATTTCGATATTATTAGCGAAATGAACTGAACATTTTTCTTGTCTGAACCAAAGCTATTATTCTCGAATGTTGAGAATTGCCTTAATTTCTCTTTTGTTTTATTTTTCTGTAACAAATATTAAATATTATTGCGATTGTCTTTGCTGTTTTAACATAATCTAATGGGTTATTTTCGTTAGAAAAAGAAAACTTTAGTAATTTTTACTCGCACATGAAACCACAAAACATGCTTACATGAAAAAACTGGCGGGAAAAGTATGTTTTATTGATGCAAAGAAAGAACTTGTAGCCTGTATTTTAATCGCTCTATTTACTCAAAAACAACGTGCATTAATGTATACTACATTATCTTCGCTATACTTGTTTTGAGTTAATATGGCAACAGTACGCTAATTGATAAAAACGTTATACAACACTTAAAAGAAGAGAGGCCAGAGAAAAAAACAAAAAAAAGAGAGTAACGTCTATAAGCAGTAAAAATGAGCGTAAATTAATACTAGGATTCATTTGAATTTGTAACCATATGTTTATCAATGCATAGAAATATGTATTTGTAGTTGCAAGCATGCTACAAATTTTGTTGGTTAACTGACAGAGAAATGACTTTAGCAAACTTGAATAAATATTTCTGATAAAATATATAATATTTTTTGTTCTTTTTTATTTATTAAATAAGAAACGCGTCGTAAATACTCGTGTATAATAATAAACCTTAAAGGTGAATTTCGCTTTTCTAGATTTGCCAGGGATATACATCTTAAGATTACATCTAAAACTATATTTTGCAGTGAGCTTGGTCAGCGGATAAATGAAGCCGGCCGCCATCTCATGCAAAGCTCATCTATATAACATTACTTAATGTATAAGTGTTCATTTTCCCAATGACTGCCTAGCCATTGATATTATATATGAATTCTACATACATTGATTATGTGTAACGATGGATAGCCAAGATTCGTCTCCGATGAACATAGTTAGCTGTCTGCAGTGTATTTTTCTTTTATTATTTTTTTATCGAACTTGCGTGCATTCCCATGATAAAAGTATGCATTTTCAGCGCTTGTAAATTAAACTAACCCCCTTCTTTAATAGTGAATTTGCTTACATTATATTATATATTCGAAATGATGAAAATATTTGTATGTCATTCGCCTAACAAAATTGAAGGGAATTAGTGTTATTCTTCTCAAGAATGGAGATCTGTATTGTCGATTTATTATAACACAAGAAAGAAGAAATAGTAATGTAGAAACTATGAAAAAAAAAATGCATGCAACCATTTCACCTTCCGCAAGGTTTCAAACTTTACATGTCATAGTTGCTTGCTTCGTTGATTCTTTTGTACTTATTGTACCTTAAAAACATTAAGTTGAAATTTGTATTAATAGATGCGAAAATAATTAAAGCATAAAAAATAAATCCTAACGATGAAATTATTCTGTGCTGAACGAAAGTATCTCGTTTTTTTTTTTAGCCGGCTCAGCAGTAGTTTGTTC